GTGTCCCTGCTGGAGCAGGGAGGTTGGACTGGGGGATCTTTAGTGGCTTCCACCCTCAGCCCTTCTGTGATTCTGTGACATCGCCAGGGTATTGTGCTTGAGCAGGAAGGTTGGACTAGATCTCTAGAGGTCCCTTCCAACCTTGAACATTCTGTGATTAAGTTAATATCTCCTCTGGCACAGCACAGCCGTGCTGTGGACGGGTTTGATCTGGAGACCATCCCTTTCTGCCCGGGTTGCGTCTACTCGGTCCCTCTCTCCCAACAGCTCAATTGCGCCTTGGCAATGGAGAAGATGTCGGAGTGGCAGAGGGAGCTGGCGCTCGCGGCAGCGTCCCTGAGCGCCGAGCACGCCGTCTGCCAGGCCTGCGCCAGGATGATCGCCGACTTCCAGGACTTCGTGCCCCTCATCCAGAAGCTGAGCAGTCCRCTCATAAAAACCAGCTCCTGGAAGGAGATCTTCTTGGGTGAGCCCTGCAGACTAGACATTCTCCGAGAAAACTCGGGGTGATCTTACACATATGCTGATATGTATGAGCATATATATGTTTGTGTTCATATATGGGTATATTTGTGTACATGTTAAAATATCTGATAAGAGGGAGTAAAGAGGATGGGGCCAACTGTCCTCAGTAATGCCCAGTGACAGGACACAAAGTGTTCATTGCAGCTTATSCTGTCACTGGGCATTACTAGTGTTCCAGCCAGGAATGGACAGTSCAGGAGGCTCCTGCAGAACACTGCAGATAACTTCTTGATGCAGGTGGTACATGAGCCAACAAGGAGAGGGTGCTGCTAGACCTGATGCTAACAAGCAGAGATGGTCTACTTGGAAATGTGAGGGTTGGGGGCMGTCTGGGCTGCAGTGACCATGAGATGTAGGAATGCACAATCCTGYVTGGAGGAAGCTGGGCAAGAAGTAGGATTGCAACCCTGGACTTTAAGAGAGCCAACTTTGACCTCTTTGGGGACCTACCAGAGGAATCCCCTGGGCCAGGGTCCTCGAAGGAAAAGGTGTCCAGGAGAGTTGGCTAATATTCAAGCAGCACTTTCTCCAAGCTCAGGATCAGTGCATTCCTACAAGAAAGAACTTGAGCAAGAGGAGCAGGAGATCTGTGTGGATGGGCAATGAGCTGTTGGGGAAACTTAATGAGAAAAAGAGAGCATACGTCGTGTGGAAGAAGGGCCAGAGCACATGGGTAGAATATAGGAACATTGTCAGAGAACGCAGAGATGCAACAAAAGAGGCCAGGGCCTGTTTGGAATTAGAGTTAGCAAGAGATGTCAGGGACAGCAGGAAGGTCTTCTACAAATACATCAGCAGCAAGAGGAAGACTAGGGAAGATGTGGACGCACTGAGGAATGGGGTGGATGCCTTGGTGATGGGGGATACAGAGAAGGCAGTGCTACTAAATGCCTTCTTTGCCTCTGTCTTTACTGCTAAGGCTGGTCCCCAAGAACTACAGAATCCAGGTAAAAGAGAGAAATGGGCGAGAGGAAGACCTTCCACTGGCCGAGGAGGATTGGGTTAGGGATCRCTTAGGCAAACTGGCCACCCATAAATCTATGGGCCCAGAGGGGATGCACCCAAGAGTGCTGAGGGAACTGGCCGAGGTTATYGCTCAGCCTCTCTCCATCATCYTYGAGAKGTCCTGGAGAGCAGGGGAGGTGCCCGAGGACTGGAAGAGAGCCAACGTCACTCCAGTCTGCAAAAAGGGCAAGAGGGAGGAGCCGGGCAATTACAGGC